GAATAAAAATTTAAGAACTTCCCAGTGAGTTTCCAGCCCCCAAGTGCACATGATACCGTCATACATGTACTTTCTCATTTTCTCTGGCTATAATTATGGCAAATAAATATGTGTTAACTCTCAAAAAATGTACAACGGTATCTGTGTACAGTATCATAAAACTTTTTAACACAATTAATGAAAGCCTAATGAAATATATAACTAATATATACTGTGGTCAGGACATTATTATACCATTGCTCTGAGCTGAAGCCAACTGGACAAGCACATAACATTTCCATTACATTATTGAAAGATACAGAAGTCAAAACAATCTGATACTGGTATAATGGAAAATACAAAGACCAATGGAATAGTAACAGTTACCCAGAAATAAACCCACATATCTATGGAAAACTAATTTTGACAATGGTGATAAGTTTATCCAACAGAGATAGAAAAATCTAATCAATACTGTAGGAACAACTAGATTTCTACATCAAGAGACTGAGGGGGCACTGATTCCATACCTCACATATACTGTACAAAAAAAAAAATAATATGGAACAAATATAAGAACTAAAGCCAGAAAACTCTTAGAGCAAAACACAGAAGTACTGCACTGGAATCTATTTTTTAACAATGAACACTTAGCTTGATACTAGAACCACAAGCAACAAAAGACAAAAAAATAGAGGAATATATTAAAACTTTCTATAGCTGAAGAAGAGTATTGAATACACCATGGACTGTCAGGAGAACAAACAGGGTCATCCTGTTTGGGGTATATTTTTTTGTTGTTCAGGATTCTGAAGCTTCATCTGACATACTTAGGGCATTTTGCTAGGAGGGACCACTCCTTGGAGAGAGACATCATGCTTGGAAGTTTAGAGGGACAGCACTGGAGAGAAAGACCCAGGATGAGATGGATTGACTCAGTGTTGGGAGAAATGGGATTTGGTCTATAGGAGATGATGAGATTGGCTCAGTATAAGGCAGGATTCAGAGCTGTTGTACAAAGGGTTGCTATGCAGGCAACTCCAGGGCACAACAATGTATACAAAAGCAATACTGTATACTGTATCTATATATACTGTAGGCAGAAGGAAGATTATATCTGGGTACTATGTATTTAATAAGGGATTACTATCCAGAATACAGAAAGAACTCCTACATCTAAGCAAGAAACACACAATTTAAAACATAAGCAAAGGACTTGGAAGGGCATTTTACCAAAGAAAATATACACATGGTAAATAAGAACCTAAAAAGATATCATTAGTTATTATAGAAATGCAAGTCAAAATCTCTTCAAGCCCACTTGGATGGCTAGGATCAGAAAAAACAAGTTTTGACCACAAGATGGACAAATGAACCATGAGCCACTGCTGGTGGGTTTTTTTTAAATGGTACACCTATTATGTAAAACAGTTTTTTAGTTCCTCAAAAGTTAAAACAACCACCACTTCACTCAGCAATTCCAACACCATGATGTATAATGAAAAACTTGAAAGCAGGGCTCAAGTAACCAAAGCATATCTGGAATTTGTTCACTTTGTGCCTAGACTTGTGAAAAATCTACACAATATTGAAGAGTTAAACAGTAAGTTTTACTGTTTTCTATTTGATGCTACTTTCGCTCGCTTTTTTTCATATTGTTATGTGCTGTCAAGTCAACTGTGACTCACAGCAACAATATGAACGATGAATCTGAACCCTATCCTTTGCCCATAATTTATACAAATATGGTTTGGATTTAATAGCCTTTAAAATGCAAACTTTGAAGTTAGGTGATTATGCAAATTATTCTCTCATATATTATAGAATTGAAGGTCATTCTCATTATGGTAAATACAAATTACAATTGTGTAAAAACATTACATTCATAAGACAGGAAGAAAATGTGGAGTTGTATTTACTGTTTAGAATTTAGTACTCATTTTTTCCTTCAGGGTTACTAAATCCACTTATCAATGCCATTACCCAAAACTCTTCACTGAACAGTCAAAATAAAGCTGACCTGGATTGGTAACGACAATCATTTTGCAGCGAGGACTGTACTGGATAATGTTAGAAATCATTAATTTTAAAATGGACACATTGCGATGGACCAAGTTAAGGCGTGTTTCTCCCTTCTCCTGACGTGCTCCTGCTGTGATAATCACTATGTTGGAGTTCGCAGTGACATGGTAATCTAGGAAAGATTTTAATAGAAAAATAATTAGGAGTGAAAACCCCATGTATTAAATTTCTTTATAAACATAACCAGTATGTTCTATGACTCTGATCCATTTTTCAGAGTCAACTTCTTAAAATGCCCCTCTTTTTATCCATTTATGGATGAATTTAAGTACTGTTATTTCTTAAAAAGTTGGTGTCTTACTATAAAAAACAATGTAGCAAATACAGACCCCCAAATATACAGCCATCATAACTGGTAAATGCCACTTGTTGCCATGGCAAGTGAATGTGGCAAGATCCTCCCCCCAACTCCCTCCTCCTAGCCAGTGCCCTTAGACCTGAGGTGGTAAATCTCTGTGTGCTCTGCCTCGATGACATGGCACTGTTGAAGGCTCTGGGAAGGTTGCAGAGACTGAGGGTGGAATAAAAGGTGGCATCCACCATCTGGCATTTAACCATACATTTCCTGTTCTCCTCAATAACCAAGCTATGCTTCCAAATTATTGTATCCTAGTACTCTTTTAACTTTGTGAAATTACTTCTAAGTTTTTCTTGTACATTTATAAAATTCTCCTAACAACGTGTATACTTTTAGAGTAAGAGGTCAAATGTGAGTTAGCCTGAAAAATAGGAGTATTATTTAGAGATCACTATGACATAGGGTCACTATAAGTCGCAGTCAACTCAAGCACACACAACAACATCTTATGAAAAGAATTTTGAACAGGGAGATCTGGGTTCACTCACTTGTTCAGATCTCCTGAGTACTAAGTGAACAAAGTACAGTACTTAAGAGCTTTGATCTGGAATAAAATAGAACTAGGTTTCAGTCCCCTCTCCATCACTTCACTTCAAAACTGCATTATCTATAAAACATCAGAGTTGTGCTGAGAATTAATATAAATGTCTTCCTTGGCACAAAATGAATGACAACTATTGAAGCTCTGGTGGCTGCTTAGTGGTAAGGAGTTACAATGCAAACCTAAAGGCAGGTGGTTCCAATCCACCAGCTGCTCTGCCGCAGAAAGACATAAACCTCCTCCTCCCATGCAATTTATGGCCTGAAAACACACTGGAGGGTCAGCTATGAGTTAGGCTTGAGTCAGTAGTAAATAACAGCAACCCTGTACATGGGAGCTCTGGTAGCATAGTTTGTTCGGAGTTCTACTGCTCATCTAAAAGCCACATCTCCGAATTTCTAATCCACTAGTAACTCCAAGGAGAAAAGATGAACAGTGTCTTCTAGTGCTATTTACAGCCTGGGAAACCCAAAGGTGAGTCCAGTATGAGTCATTTCTGACTCAACAACAACGAGTGAGTTACTGTAACTAACATAACTGCTGCTCACGAGGAGCTGAAACTATTGCTTAGGAATCCCTGTAACCAAGTACAATCTACTGTAATGACAAATACTTTTAAAAAGAAATCTAAGTATGTGAGAGGATAAAAAGTAGGGAGCACCCAGCTCAAACTCTAAGAACTGAGGCAGTTTTAAAATAAAAAGAGGAAAAACAATGTATACGAACTTTGTAAGTAAATCAGTATAAAATAAAAATTTTCTAAAAGAAAGTAAAGATGTTCAGGTTACAGTATAATATTTATAGTATTTAACTATGATATATTAACCTTTGCTGGAAGTAATATTTGGCATTTTCATGAAGAGACTGCCATGCTGAAGATCCAGTGTCTCACCCCTCAGTCTGCTTTCATTGACATCCACAAGGGCAAGTTCATCACTCAAGCCCTGAAAGATACCAGTCAAAGTGGGGGTAGAGGGTGAATGTGACAGTATATGCTGATTAGCTGGAGAATGAAATTCCTTATATTAGTAATCCATGTTTGGTTTGTGAATTACTAGACCCAGAGAAGACACAACAGAGCTATTCACCATTTCATCATGATATGAAAGTCTCAATGAGTGAAAAAGTAAAGTTCCAGCTCATCATTATGAAAAATGGCTGTTTAATAAACAACAGCCTCTGGAGCTAGCACACGTCTCTTCAATTTAAACTGTGCAGTGAGGCTGTGCAGGGATAAAAGAGATTCTGTGGCAGGAATTCCTCACCAGACTATGAGCTCCTTTGAAGCAGGAAGTCATACTTCCACCCACCTGGTAGTTAGTGTCCTTTTGGGACATAGGAGCTCAAGAAAAGTTTCTCAAATAAGTAAACGAATTAAAATGTAAGACCTTCTCAACTCTAAATATTTTCCAGTCCTGTACCAGACAGTACTACCTGCAAAACCAAACAAGTACATTTTTCTAGCATGTTATTTTATTTATAAGAAAGGTGGAAAATGGTAACGTATATGCATTGTTCTTTTATTTACAAAAAGGTATGTTAGAGAATAGAAACTAATATAAATGGTTGCATAACATGAATAGATGCCTTGGAAGTTCACATCCACTCAGGTGCCTAACAAGAAAAGCCTCACTGTCTCCATCCCAAAAAGCCAGCAGTAAAAACCCTGTGGAGCACACACAGCTTTCCCCGGACGCCCACGGGGCCGGCGGGGGCTGCAACGGGCTCAGCAGCGATTGGTTTGGTTGGTAGGAAATTGGTTTGGTCACCACTTACATGGAACAATTTTAAAGAATCTTGGACATGAAAATGTATTGGAAAGATTCAAATTTTTAAGCCATTTTTTAACATGAACAAAGATCCTTTGTTATTATTTCTAAGATCATTTACTAGTCCACCTACATTTTAATAACCCTAAAATTAAGGTAATGTTTAAAAAATATGTAATACAACATTGTCAATTTAACAATTTTCATGTGTACAATTTAATAATGTCAAGAACATCACTCATGTCGTGCAACCATCTCTGATATGTGTTCTCATCATCATATATATAGAACAAACTCAATGCCTGTCAGGGGTCTGAGTGAATGCGAAGACAACATTACTTTTAATAGGTAAGTCTGTGCATGGGAAATTCAAAACTATCACAGTTATTAACATATTTATATATCCATGCCATTTCTTACACTATTTTTTTCAAACTTGTCTTTTTAAAAATACTTCCTACATTGTGTTCCATCAAAATTCAGAATAATAGAAGCTATTACTAAAGACTCTTTTTTCCCCCTTCTTTTTTCTTGTTGTGTACCATCAAGTCAGATCCAACTAGTACAGGAGGAGATTGCCCCTTCTCCAGCGGAGCATCTGATGGATTCAAACTGAATGCCTTTGGAATTACAGCGCAGCTTCTTGCCACTAGGCTACCAGAGTTCCCTTACTTAAAACTCTTCTTCATTTTTTTTTTTTAAATCACTCCTTAACACATTGCCGCACAGTTTTAAATTGACGACCGTGCTTAGAAACACATTTTTTTTGCTATAGCCATCATTTGCAGCAACGTATTAAGATGATTTACTAATCCACTTACATTTTATTTAACAACCTTGAAATTAAAGTGTCCTGTACTTGCCTTCAGAGCTTTATTCCTAGGCAGATGCTGCCTGTCTGGTCACATATGGACCATTGAGAATCCAGCAGCCACTTTTCACAAGTAACTGACCAGGCCTTTCCTCTGAGGAGCCTCTGGTAAACTCCTAACCTTCTATCTAGCAGTCAAATATGCTAACTATCTGCACTCCCTGAGGTCTCCAGGGCCAGTAGTGGCGAGGATTACAGTCAGCTTTAATCTGGGAGTTTACAGAAGGAGGATGCAGCAGTTTCTAAAATATACAAATGTTAGGTTTGCAACAGAGAATTCAGGATCTAGAAGTTTATGGCCAGCATCTTTTTTAGGGATGGGGCTCAATCTGCCCTATAAAGGCCATTTAAGGTAGACAGCAAATAAATATTTGGTTTACTTAGATTTTAATACATATTATTACTATAGTTACCTATTTGTCTAACTTGAGATAATCTGTGTCCTTTTACTTTCCTATAAAATAGAGCTAGTATTTACTTGTATTACATAATGTATCTAAAATATATTATTATAATCATTAATGACAAAATTTGCATTTGTTTTCACTTTTATGTATTATTCTTTTTTAAACATTTGTTATGTTGTTGTTATGTGCCGTCGAGTCGCTTGCGACTCATAGCAACCCTATGTACAACAGCCCTAAACCCTGCTCTATCCTTTGCCAATCACACTGCCTCTGACACACCCATCCCGATTACCCCAGTCACTGAATCAATCCATCTCATAAAGGGTCTTCCCCTCCTGTGCCGTCCCTCCACTCTCCCAAGCATGATGTCACTCTCCAAGGACCTGTACCTCCTTACAACATGTCCAAAGTATGTCAGATGAAGCCCCAGAATCCTTGCCTCCAAGGAGCAGCCTAGTTTAACCCTCTCCAGGATGGGTCTGTTTTCTTGGCAGTCCACGGTACATTCAATACTCTTCTCCAGCACCACAGCTCAAAGGCATCAATTCTCCTTCTATCCTCCCTAGTCATTGTCCAATTCTCTGATGCATAACA